AAACAATTACTTTGCTGAGTCACACAGCCTGATTTTTCAGGGATAAGAAATGCCTCTTGAACATTGCCTTTTGAGGAGCAAACACATTATACCAACATTTCGCCTCACAATTCTGTAGAAACTAGATAAGAACCTCACATGAATCAGGTAATACTCCAATCAACTTCCCCTGAAAACAGTTTTACAACTATAAATAACTTGATTTCCTGTGCTCAGTGTAATGGCAGTTAGACTGCAGGGTTTTTAAAAAAAATTTGCTAAGGAGGCTTCCGCTATGTGATATTTACTCAGGCTAAACAGAAACTAACTCTTAAAGAAAAAGGGAAATTTGGTCTCCATCTTTGCCCTAGTGGGACGCTCTTAACACTATGAGAAAAGACCTAACTTACTATTTTTACATCTTAACTGCTTGGGGAAATGATCCATCTAAAACAAACCATATAATTCCAGTGCTCAGCGTCTCAGACTGAGCTCCGGCAGGGCCAGACCCTAGACGGACTGCACCCACCACGGCTATCAACGCTCCCGCTCGTCAAGACCTGGGGACCTCAGCACAGGTCCCAACAACGAGGTGGGACCTGGGAGACTGTGTCCACCTTCTACCCTGACAGCTTCTCTCAGGACAGGACTGGTCATTTGTAAGTGCTAATCAGTATGTGGAAAGGGGCCAGAGGTGACACAACCCATCACAAACATGGGGAAGTTACAAAAGTTAAAGAAATGTGTGGTTTCTGTACTGTTCTCTCATATGGCTCCGGGGCGGGTGCTGATGGTTGTGTAAGGAGCCAGGACTCCTGCTCAGATCCTGCTTTTTCCTTTTCGAGGCGAGATGGAGCTTGCCAAATTGGCCTCCTCTTGCCCACTCAGCTCTCGCCTCACACCCACGTGGCCCCCAGCCCTCCATCTCCACTGGAGACCCCTGTTCCCAGGACCCAGGGTCACTAATGCAGAACACAAACCAGTTTGAAATGCCCACCAGTCTCCAGCTGGAACATTGTATCACCGGGGGTTGCTGCTGGGTGACTCCTTTCTCAAGCACCCCCACCTGTGCCCCCCCCACTGGCCACTCAGTGTGTTTCCTTTTCAATGAACCGTTAACCTCATAAAACAGGGACCATGTTTTACTTCTGTTCCTCATGTCCCACTCTAAAGTTTTTGCTATTATTTACTAAAAAGAACTCCTACAGGTTCCCAGTTTCTTACCAGAAACCCCTGGGACCAAACGTGTTTCAGAATTCAACACTTTCGGATTTTAGAAGGGTAATAAGATGCATACACCATACACTCTGTGACAAGCCAGAGTAATAGCCCTTAATAAAGTACATTAACAGAGAAATTAACAGAGTACATTGCTGAGAAACATTATGAATATTCACACTAAGAGGGATAAAGACCGAAAACAGCCTTGCACCAGCCAGGGCAGGTCTCACTGCCAAATGAATTCAGCAACAAACTTATAAAATAACTTTTGTTTTCACAGCTTACTGGATCCTGGAATTGGTGGTCAAGGGATGGTGAGCCTGTGCGCGTTGAGCACCTTCACCAATCAGAACTCCTTCCAGACTCTCCTCTCACCTATTTCTGGCATCTCAATCAGATCCAATCCACTGGTTAAGTCAAGGGTTAAGGAGACACTGCGGCCAGCGCCTTAGCGCTCCAGGTGTTATTTCTACTCATTCCTCTCATGGTCTGTCCCTCCCTCCCTTACATCCTTGTTCTCGATGTTCACTCTTTTCTTCTTCAAAGACTCCCAGCCCAGCAATTCCCTCCTCTGAGCTCGAATCCTGTCCAGGATCCACATCACCCTGTCCTTGCCATCTATGGTTTGCCTAGGCGGCTCCTCTGGGAACACCAGCATCTCTCAGCAGCATTCCCAGCCTCCCTTCTTCCCAGGGCCCTTCCCTGATGCTGATTCAAATATCTCTCTGTAGGTTCCCGGGCCCCTAGAAACCAATTAGGTTAAGGGATAGGAACCAGCTCCAGAGGTCTGGCCCACGGCTGGAACTTTACGTGAGGTCATCAAAGAAGCAAACTAAAATGGACATTAAAAAAAATCACCTGACGGTCCTCAGCAAGGAACGTAACTTTCAAGAGTGTGTTCATCAGAATCTATTTCTATACCTGTCTCTGGTTTACCAGTAAGCTCCCCCAGGTCAGGGCAACTTTACTCATCTTGAATCTTCCACAAACATCCAGTAGATGATTAATTCCTAGCTGGCAAAGGAGTGACTGTTTTGGGTTTACACGTTTATCAGGGTTCCCACAGAGGCCAGATAAAGTGGAAATCTAGGGTCTCCTCTCTCTGCAGTACTAACTTCCTAACGTGCTTCTTTTCTGAAGTGCATCCTTTTACCTCTAAATATTCCCATTCACATCAACCACAAGCTGCACAAACCTTCTCCACCTCACCCCTGCCCAATCTTAATGCCAAACTACCCCCACATCCATGGTCCCAATCCTGGTGATTGAGCTGAACAACTGCGAGATTCCATGGATGGAGGATCCTGTCCAGACTCCGAGACCCCAGGAGACCAGCTGAAGTGGATTTGAGGACTGGGGTCCTTGAGGAAACTGGAGAAATTGGGTTCCGCCCCGTTGGTCCTAAGGTCCAGAGCAGGATAAGTGCTCCAAACCCCCCAGCCACTGGTGGTGCCAGTCTCAGGGTGAGGGCAGGGGCTCTGGGCACCAGTTCCCGGGTACTGTATTGTGTAAAATACCAAACTAGCAGGTACCAGTGAGACGAGACCAGGCGCAGGTCTCAGACATCGGCTGGATCTACGGCTGAGTCACTGGCTGGGCAGAGACAGTCAAAAGGCTGTCACTACAGGCAGTGGAGCGACCATGCTCCTTTTCGTCCTGGTGAGGGGCGTCGTCGGGTGAAAAGCGCCTTCCAGCGCGCTAGGGGGGAGAGCGCACACGAGCCGCCAACTGAACGGAGAGCAGGGCCCGCTCCCACCCGCACATCCTCGCGTGGGGACATTCATTTAGGGGGGTCCCCGGCCAGGCAGAGCCCATCCCACACCTCACCACGCACAGACGACCGCGGCGGTACATGCCGACTGCCCTTGGCCTTAAAACATCAACAAAGACCAAACGTTCGGCAGAACCGAAAGTTTCGAAAATGTGTTTTCCACTTACCAGTCTTTGAGCTTCTGGGCTCAGGCAGTCTATTTCCTTGTTCTGCGTGGCCGCAGGGTTGGTCATCGTGCCGGCTACAAGACCACCTTCTCACACACCAGGAAAGATACCGGTCAACGCCGGCTCCTCGGATCGGCGGGTGGACGGGCGCTCAGAGCAGCCGCATCCCGAGAGCGGCGGCGTTACTGTCCGCGGAGACAGACCCGTGCGGCTGAACGGGAACTCGCCCTTCCCGAGGCAGGGCGCGCCTCCGCGGTTCCTGGGCTCGGGCGCGGCCGCAGGG